GCCGCAAGGGGGAGGGGGCGCAGGGCCAGGGCCGTCCAGCGCCCTCTAGCGGCGCGCTCCGGCCAAGCGCGCACCGCACCGTCGCCCGGCGACGCTAGGCCCGGGGAAGCCCCCTCCCCTAGCTGCGGAGTGCGCAGGCGCAGACCCACCACCAAACACGCCGCGCGGCCCGCAGCCTGCGGAGTGCGTAGGCTCGCGCCCCACCCCTACGCACTGCGCATGCGCAGCAGGACGCAACTCGGGGTAGGGGGTCCCTCACCACACGCCGCGTCGGAGCGCGGCGCAGCGGGGCGGTGTACTTGCAGTCGTAGGTGCCGCCCTTTCCCTTCCGCTCCCGCGTTGTGTACACACGCATACATATACCGCCCCCACTGCCAGCCTTGTACACACGCAGATACTCCCCCCCTCCCCCCGTTAGCGTTGTACACACACACCGCCCCTTTCACTGTCAGCGTTGTACACACACGCACATACGTACCCTCCCCACCAACGTTGTATGCTCACCCACCCCCCACAGCCAGTACTGTACACACCCTCACTGCTAATGTATGTATGCACACTGCCAGCATTGCACACATGTACATACACGCCTTCACTGCCAGTGTTGTATACATGCACACACACACCCTTACTGTACACCCCCCCCATACCATGAGTGTGGTATACACACTCCTTCACTTCCAGCATTGTACATCCCCCCCAACTTCCCAAATTGTACACACACACCCCCTCACTGCAAGTGTTGTACACACACGCACACATACTCTGGAGCCCCTCCCCAACCTCCATTACACAAGTCTGCTGTGGTACACAGCCCCCTCACCAGTACACGCAGGCTTGACCTGTACCTGCACACACCTTGGCACTTAGCTCTGTGCCTGTGCAGGGCCACCCTCAGGCGCATACAGCCACGCACAGCCCCTCTGCCCCCCACGAGGCACAAGCCATGTGCACATGCACAGTTCCACCACTGTCTGTCACCATCCTGCCTTCCCCCGAGCGCAAAGCGCACCTTGCTGCCTCACGGGGCAGATACACACACCTTGCTTCTTCCATCAAAGCATCCCAACCGCGGTTCCAAGCCTCAGTGCACATATGCATGTAAGCGCCCAGTCAGCCACCACCACAAACCCCCATAGGTAGCCACTGTGCCCTGTTCCTCACCCCCACACCCAATACATCCCCATGACATGCAGTATACACGCACCTTATAACACACATACCCATGCACCAATGTGATGGCAACTACAGAAAGAAGTTTTCTTTAGCATAACTTTTTTTTTAACAACAGCAAGGCATTAATTGACAGCCCCGTTAAACACAAAAATACCAGGCTTAAGTCCCTTTGTGGAGGTATCTTCCTTTTGGGTGGAAAGACCTGAGATAAGCCCTTTAGAAATCTCTTTGCTGTCTGATGGTAGAGGGAAGTCAAACAAGTACCCTGGACCCACGAATGACGTGCTGCAATTGCCACTAAATAAACCTTACTGGATCTCAAAGACAAGTAATCCAGAATCAAAGACTAGAAGAGCACATTGTTACAGTTTCTTAATCTAGATATCCACAGGTACATACGGTGTCATAGTAGAGGATTTCTTGTTCTTCAGTAGAGTATATTGTACATCTAAAGAACTCTTGTCCTTTGATACTGTTCACACCATCAGGTATAAGGGCAATGGATCTGGATAACGTTCTAGATTGGAATTCATGGAGAATATGTCTTTCTGAAAATGCAGCATATAAACCAGTGGTTGAATAGAAGCAGATCTGAGTACTAAAATTGGTGTAGGCATCCAGGGACTATTGGGGTAGTATAAGCTATGTCCTGCCTCACCTCCCATAGTTGGAATCGAGGGAAAACATCCATCAGGCAAAATGCTTCTAGAATCAGAAAAGCATCTTCTTGTGATGCCTTGGCTTTCCTTCCAAGTGCCTTTTTGTTATCCTTGGACATTAAATAGTCTCCTTGTAGGAGACTTTATTTTTAAAAAGCCTGATATATAATAAAATCTTTCAGGGCAAATTCATCTGAATATGGGCTTTTCTGTTCATCTTAAATGTTGTTCTTCTCCAGGAAGATGCAGTGCTATGAGATTTACCTGCTTAAAGATGCATCACTTCCACAACAGAATGGGTTTCAGTGCCATTATCCTCCTTCCTTTTTTTAAATAAGAATTTGGTAGAATAAAAAACTTTCCTCCTGATTTCTGGAGGTACTGGTTCTTTCACATTTAACTGAAATAGAGTTTATCTTCTGTTGCACGAGGGTGTGGACA